TAATAATGTAAAAGATTATAGAATTACAAAAGTATTTTCATTCAATACACACAGATATACTTAAGAATGCAGATTGTAAAAAGCACACATTCATCAATTAGAGAATGCAAGCTGTTACTGAATGCCTTCCAGTTCATAAACAAGGCCTAACAGTAATTTTGTGAGAGATTCATAAGGTCATGATTAAAGCTCAAATTTACAAGTATCTTTCTGTGCAATGAGGCTAAGTAGATGTCTATGTTGCTATCCTGTCATTTCCTACTTGTTTAAACACTTATCAGTGTGTTTGTGTTGTTTGTTCTGGTTGGGCTGTTATTTGAAAATCATATTATCTAACCCAGAAAGAAGTATGAAAAACAAACAGATTAATACAATTAGAAAAGGAACAAGGTTTTCAAACTTCATTTTCTTACTAAGAAAACAATAATCTAGTTAATGATTGCTTTGGGGAACAGGACAAACAAATATGATTAATAACTATGATACAATGCAATTAAACCTTCCCTAGTAACTGTCAGAGTTATATTGTATTTAAGTTCTTTACCCTGAAATGAAAAATTCCAGCATAATCCTTTTGAAATCCTTGGTCACAAGGCAAAACTTGTTTCCTTATATGCTGCTGAAATGTCAATGCACCCAGTGAAGCCAGGAACCAGCAGTTACCTAAAACATGAGAAAAGTAAAGATACATTGTCAGTTTTGTCAGTACACATTAACTCTTTGTGAGTGAAATTCCATCCATGTTATTGCACGTTTCACTGTTTGAAATGACTAGAATAGTTACAAACAGGGTAGACACCCTATGTAAAGTGTAATCTGTTGGGAAAAGAGGGGAGAATCATGCTGTCACAAGTTTCAATGGCATTTCTTAACACTCCTGTAGATTTTACATTCCTCAATACATATTTAAACTGTCAAGCAAAGTCACTTAATTTTGAGTATAGCAGTGTTTTTGGACAGGATCAAGTAAAGGTTTAATCTTCGCTGAAAAGTAGACAGAGGAAACAAAGTTATGGCTGCTTACTCATTCTGCTCTTCAGCATGGAATTGACCTACACTCGATCCTGTGCGTCTAACACAGTTTGACACCACACCCCGACTCAAATATCTATTAGCTGCTGCTTATGTAAGTTTTGTTTTTCACTATTAACACATTCCTCTAGTAATGGAATCACTAGAAGCACATATTGTTTCATTTTACTAAGTGGTGTTTAATTACTGGGTGGGAAATTTTCCTGACTGTCAAGTTCTTCGAATCTCTTTTCACGCATGAGTTTTTTTTAATACATGAAATTGTAAACATTACACAGAGAAATTCCTAACAATACAAAGTAAAGCCTCAGGCAACTGCCTGAAAGAAAAAAAAAGACTTAGAAATAGTTTTAAAACAAAATGTACCCAATCATCAAAATCAAAGACTGGGTAAAATATTGTTTGCAAGGCACACCCTGATTTTGGATCCATGCTATGCACAGGGATTCAGCGCAGTGGTCATCAAAACATTTCTTAGTGATATGATGATGGTGCAAAGCACATTAGTTTGTATTTGCTTGTTTTGAAACATCCCCTTTGACAAATATTTAAATTAGCAATGTCATCAAAAACTGAAGAGAAAATAATACAATTTGTTATTGCAGAAGTATTTCTAATCCTGAACTAAATATTTTGTAAAATACTTTTGCTTATTGTTTTACATCTTGAGAATAGGTAGTGTGTATTTTGATTGTATCTTTTTGCCACTATGCTCTCAAAATATTAATACCTACAGATTGAATACATTAAGTTTAGGAACTTGAATTGTTAACATTTTTTGACCAACAAATAATTGTTATTTTCTATGAATTTCCTTTTTTAAAAAAAACAGCTTAATGGGAACCATGTCAGATGAATGTTATTTGATTAAACTTGTACGACAGATTTTTTTACTTGACTTGAAAATGTGTTTTCAATAACTGTAACACAGTCTTAAATATTAAAATATTGTAACGCTGATGGTGGGGGGGCCAATCTGATGCGGCAGAGGCGAGGGCGCCCACGTGAACCCCGTATCATTACAATATTTTCCTCCAAGGGATGATATGCCATAGCTCCATACATAGGTTTCTACAAAACTGATCTTTCAATAAAAATACCGTATACAATAATTTATAGGTTTTAGAAAATTTTAGAGACCAAAGGTTTGGAAATTATTTTTGTTTTTTGACACCATATGCATTGAAATAGGTGTGGAATTATAACAAATGGATGTTGTACATTTAATATTAATGTAGAGACTAATATTTATCTTCATTTTATTAAACCCTTCAGTGCAATGCTAGTATAATGGTCACACTACCTGGGAGTAGGAAAGCTAGACTAAAAGTGTTCAGGAAATCTAGAAGTTAAATTAAAAAATATCCAAGCTTCTGTATTACTAGGGTCCTGATTATGTTTATTTTTATCAAATAAAATAATCGTCACACAACCTTAATGACACAGCTCAATAAATCTCTTGATTTTGAAATTTTGTAATTGTTGATATTTTTATACACAATAATATAGGTGTCAGTAGACCCTTTAGAAGTGATTCCTGACAGTGTCAAAACTTTCAAAATACAAATTCAGATATAACAATACCACAAGCTATGTCTTAAAAGAAAGTGGTGACTGGCTCTCGCTGAGCTGATGTCCTTACATAACTTTCAAACTATATATGGAACATATTGAATATCTGCTATGAAGTGGCACTTTTAGTTATGTTTCAGCACAAAATCCCTTATATACAAAAATATATACAAAATAATCATAACTAGTAGACAGCTATCACATTTAACAGCGTATCACTTCATCACTTTCAAGGTTTCACTTTTCTAAAAGGGTGTTGTTACAGTATTTTGTGCAAACTAAAAACTACAAACTGTGCAAACTACAAATGTAATTGGTGCTATTCATAGGATTATGCTGGTGTATATGGAATACTAAGAAAATTGCAATAAAATATATCCTGAGCTGACACTGATATCTTGAGCACAATGTTTACTTTAAAATTTAAGTATATTTTTTTATCAGAAAACATTGATATGAAAGGTGGTTTGTATGAAGTAATTACTTTTCAGCTTTCCTTGACCAAAGGGATCCAGGGAATTCATGCAAGAAGGGTGTTGTGTTGATATGTATTATTTCTGTGGAAGCAGGATAAGAAAGTGCATATAACCAGACTTATTGCATTAAACATTCACAATAAAGAAAATATCACTTATATGGAATGTAGGACTTAAATGGGTCAACTTATCAGTCAACTCAAGGTGAATATGGAAAGCATGCATGCAATTCAGAGTGAATTTTGGGAAAACAAAAACACATACCCACTTGTCCTTGGCAAAGATCAAACCTGGAGACGTCATTCACATATAGCTGAGGATCACTGTGAAGATTCTAAAATGAACACAAAAATCATCATTATTGAAGGGAAACTTTGACATATTGCTCTCTTATAACCTGTGCATTTTGGGATGAACTTTGACAAAATTGTAAAGATGCAACTTTTTATCAATATTTTGCATTTATATTTGCCATCATACAATTCCAAGTACCAAAAACATTTTTGTATTTGATACTATACAGTATGTCTGCAACAGACCCTGTGGTGACCAATGAATCTAAGCAGGTTAAAACTCACAAAGGCCTATACTGGACACCAGAGGGGGATTTAGTGCAGAAACCTTGCCAGATTTGCAAACAACACTCTTGAAAAGCCTTCCTCCTGCTGACTGCTTTCAAAAACCATCCAGCCCTTTATATCCCTGAGGTCCACTAATTACTGTGAACCCCCTGTGAACATGTGTAATTGACCTCTTCCACTAATCTCATTAATTAATCTCACAGTGTCTACTATAATTACAAATGATAAAGACCTTTGCCAGTTTCTAGTGGTAGGTTAGCTGATATTACAGTTCCCTCAAACACCAGCCAGCTAATATCTTATTTAGTGATTAACAGAATCTTTATACAGTATACTTTGATTAATTTTATTAACCAGATCTTTTAAATGCTTTGGTTTTCAGGAAAGACCAGCACATCAGAATCTCTCAGTTAGCTTATGTAGTTGACACCTTCTCCTTCCCTTTCACCTTTTATAAGGTTATGTTTGGTAACATAATACTGTATTTCTCTGATAAAACTATACTGTACCTTTAGAGGGTGTATATACAGTACATTGTTTTTTTTATTATTTTGAGTGAATGATCTGGATATTCTCAGTGCTTACTCATGGCAATTATTTTTCTGTACAGCTGAGAAGGACAAAGCAAACTGCAATACTTGCAAGTCAAAAAGCTCTTTTTTCTGAATTAATTCACAAAATTATTTATTTTGTCAGGATCACTTTCCTAACTCTGAATATAGACACTCTAGTTGAATAATAGTTTATGGTTCAAATAAACTGTAATCAAATGCAACTTTTATGGTTATTTTTCTGCTTCTTTCCTTAGGTAAACACAGGACAAGGGAAAGCAACACTGGGATAGGCAGTGTGGGTGGAGCCAGTGGTAAATGTGGTTTATACCACACTCATGACTTTCAATAACAGCACAAAGACACTTTAAAAGTCCTTACTATGAGCAGTGAATCATTTTAATCATGACAATGGTATGCATATGATGCATATAATGTCACGCCCTCTGCAGCCAGAGGGCGCTCCTTCTCTGTCCTGTCCCTAGTTTCCTGTCTGCTGTCCTTCCTGTCCCTCTCTTTCCCTTGGGCTATATATTTCCTGGTCTTGCACTCTGTCCTGGCTCAGCATTGACATTCGGATGTCCTGAGACCCACCTAGCACCAGGGCGCCCAACGTCCGCTCCCTGAGGGCATAGGTTTCTATACGGCATTCCTGAACTCTTTGCACTAATGAGCCCGGGCCTTTTTCCCGTCTCGCCGCTACGCATTTGGGTCTTTTTCCGCTCTCCTGCTCCCCACGGTTAGTCCCTTTGGACGTCCGTGACATATAATCTATTACAAACAGAGAGTAAACTAATATGAAAAGGTTAATGAAAGTTATTAAATATGTTTTAAAATTTGATACTTACATTTTGCAGTTTCAGCACTCACTACTACTACTTGTGAGGAGATGCTTACTTTTCATCAGAAAGTAATATTTTGTATATTGAGGCAAACAAGATAATGACACTATTTTAGAACCATCCTTTTGTTCAACCTCCCCATCTCTTACAAAACTCAGACATGGATGTTGAACATTTGCCTCAAAAGATGGAGACTGGACTGTACTAAAATTAAGATAAAATTGTCTTATTGCCTAATATGTGCCAGTGATATAAAGTCTTGCACTGATCTAGAATTATTCGATATGTGAGAGAATATTTAAATATCTGTGGTTAATTTGCTTTTAAATTCAGCACAACATCTCAACTGAAAAACTTTCAAAGGAAATGTATGATATGTGTTAGAAATGTTTTCTTTCATAATAAAAAAATGATTGCTGATTGAAGATACAAACATATAGCTATGTATATATGTATAGAAATATAGCTATGTATAACAGAACAACAATAAATGATTTCACACTAAAGGATGGTTATTGTTTCCATTTAAATGTCTATTTAATCATTTAGCTGCTGTAATTTGCTATTATATTTAATAATCTACTGGGTCAGCAAATGAAGAAATCAAACATTTAAAGTAATGATTAATTTCATAAACCTTTTCTGGTCTTTCATCCAAAGCCTTAGCACAAATATCTAACATGAATCATTTTCCAAATTCAGGATATTTTGAAATGCATATTATCAATAATAAGTTATTTATTAAAAATTAGATAGGTGTCAAGGCTACAATATCCATGTTGTCACAGAACAAGACTGTAGTTGGCGAAATATAAAAAAAAACAAATACTATAGCTGGAAAATCCTGTACCTTCCAGATCCAGGTAATTTCTTTGCATAAGGAGGTATGAATGTTTGCTAAACTACCTAATCATGTTGTGGTGGCTGATTCACTGAAACCATTTAAGAAATAGCTTTATAATGTCTTTATAATGTCTTCAGTTTATTAGTAACCATTTGTTCTGATGTTTTTTGTATTTCACAAATAATTGAAAGATTTATAGTCTAAGTGTTAATAACAATAAGACATAAACAGAGAGATCGTATTGTGAATTATTATTTAAAAGTATTAAAGGTGTTTATGCTCAATTCATATAATTATACAGACAAATGTGGAAAAGAGCATTGAGATACCCTTTCAGCTTCTTTATACATATTCCTCCAGTAACACAATATAGACCCTTCCAATAGGCATACATTCAAAGTATAGTTTGTACCCTATAATTAATAATAAATGCTTACAATTACAGTTTTCTGGACACTCCACTCAAAGTGCTTTACACCACCACCAATGTGTAGCATTCACCTGGATGATGCAACAGCAGCCATAGTGCACCAGTACGCTCACCACAATCTGCTATCCGGGGGGGCAGGAAGACAGAGTGATGAAGCCAATTCATAGATTGTAGGGATTATTAGGAAGCTATGATTGGCTAAGGTCAATGGGATATTTGGCCAGGACACTGGGGTGACAACCCTACTCTTTTAGAAAAATGGCCTGGGATTTTGAATGACCATGGAGTCAGATTTACATCTCATCCAATGGATGGTGTCTTTTTTTACAGTATAGTGAATCTGTCACTATATTGGGGCATTAGGACCCACATAGACCGCAGGGTGAGCACCACCTGCTGGCCCCACTGACACCTCTCCCAGCAGCAACCTTAGCTTTCCCAGGAGGTCTCCCATCCAGGTACTAACCAGGCTCACTTCTTCTTAGCTTCATGGGGTCACCAGATGTGAGTTGCAGGGTAATATGGCCGCTGGCTTAAAGAGATGTGGGAGTGTGTAACAAGTTTCCCAGCCATGTTGTTGAAACTCATACCCTGGCTTCCTTCAGGAAAGAGCTGACTTAGGTCCTTAATGAGCAATATTCCTCTCTACTGTATAGAGCACATGTTGAGACATATCTAGCCATCCATGTTCTAACTGTTTTATCCAAAACAGGGTCACTGGGGTGCCCTCGGAAGTTATTGGCACATAGTAGGATACACTCAGGGTGGGGCGCCAGGCCATCACAGGGCATACACTCACACCAGGGTAATTTCCCCAGAAGCCAATTAACCACTAGTACAGTATGTTTTTGGACTGTGGGAGAAAACTGGAGCATCCAGAGGAAACCCACACAAACAAGGGTAGAGCATTCAAACTCCATGCAAATGGAACTGAGTCAAGGGACAATGCTAGCCATTGTTTGACTTATCATTTTATGTAAATAGTATTGAATTGGAAATGCTTTTCATTCCATGTCAATTTGTGACTTCTAAATAAATGCTGTTATGTCAGCTGTAAGGAGAACCAGAATTTTTTTTTTAAATCCCTGGACTTACCCTTGGTCTTTTCCATACAACTCTTGCCATCTCATCTGGTTGTAGCAGACCAAAGCCAATAGAATCTCTGCTTGGTGGGAAAGTCTCATCCACAAATCTCACTCTCTTTATCAGACAGTAGGTGCGCAGCTGTTCAAAGTCTTGGCCACAGAACTTCTCTGGATTGTTAAGAGATCCTTGACCTTCTTGCCTCTGACGATCCCTCATAATGTTCAGACAGACTCCAGGGGGAGGCATTATTGCTTCTCAAGTCTGTGGAGTTAAAATAGGAAGAGTAAAGCTAAAGATGAACATGTGATCTTTTGGCGTTTCATCTTTTAATCTAGCATCAAGAAAATAAGTCGGGTTTTATTTTCCTGTTTGGCATTATGAAGCTAGCTGAGGAATATTTCTTTGTTAATTGTATTTTGAGGACACATATCATAAATGTATGATCTTCGTTGTTGTCTGATGTGTGAGTTTTCTTGCCAGGGTTAATTTAATTCAATTACATTAAGGCAGGTAAGTCATGGACTGGCATTATGTTATTTCTAAAGGCAAAATGTTTCAATTTGTCATAAAAAAATCAAATGATTAAAATCAATTATTTATTAATAAATCTAATTATTCATGAAATCACAAGTTTTATCTTACTTAGATGCCATAAAGGCATTCTATGAAGAGTTTCAGAGTTTAAGATGTCAAACATTCCACTGTAGAACTAAAACATAAAATCACACTTGCTTCAAACTTACTGCTCTCAATTAAACATTTTTTCAACACTTTTTCTCAAATATTGAGCCCAGGTCAGAAATAATTTTGAAACATGTGAGACCTAGAGATATATACTGTACTACATCTGTTATACAGAATGTGACAGTATGTGAATGATATTAAAAATAAAGTAATTGTGACATTGTGTAGTATATTTAAGTTTTTAATAACTTTAAGTTATGACTGGAGTCGGGTGTTGTCCTCTTTTCTGCTTGTGACTACACTGTTGCAGCCCTTACCAGAAATAAGTATAGGTAGAATAGGAATAAGATTTCTTATATAGTAAATGATGGATGGATACCTAATTTAAAAAAGTCATACTGTAAATTGCAAATGTTAACCATTATAATGCAATGCTTTTGTTTATTTGCTGTATATACAATACATTTTTACAGATCTTTAGCCTAACCTGATAACCTAAAGTAAACTTGCTAACTGAATAGACCATATGGATTCTGTTCGATTAGGAACAATTAAATTGTTAGGACTAACTTAAAACTTATCATAAGAACATATGAATGTTTACAAATGACCATTTTGTATCTAATAGCTTATTGATCTATCTCATCCAGCTGTCTTTTTAAGGAACCTTGGGTTTCTGTGTTTAAAAACATGGCAGAGTAACTTTTTCCATATTCTTACAATCCTTTGGGTAAAGAAGTAGTTCCCATTTAAATGCAATTCCACATAGTTTTCACTTGTGTTGTCTAGTTTGTGTTTCACTATTCATTCTGACGAAGTGTCTCAATCCCTTTAAGAATTTTGAGTACTTGTCTCTCTGTTTAAGACTCAGTTCTTTCCCCTTGTGATTAAAATCCAGAATATACTGTACAGTACCTAGTTGCACTTATCAGTTTCTAGAGCACCAATATCTTTTCTGTAATGCAGGGACCAAATACAGTAAGTTCAAAATATTCTAAATGAGACTTTACTAGTACATAATACATTTTGAAGATAACACCCCTTGCTAATTTTTACTATATATCCTAACATTTTCCAATCGGAACAGAGGAAAGGCCTTCTTTTCTGTCTGGTCTCTTGGTTTCTGTATCTCTTCTCATGGTTTCTCCAGCCATGTCTATGCTAATCAAGCTAAAGTAGTTTACAATTTTGCATCTCTTGAAAACGGGAAATGTTTGCCTACGATAGGCAAAAATTACATTTTAATAAAATGAGGTAAAGTTCCAAGAAAAACTCCTATACAAAACAGAATAATTAGAACAAAATAAGACAAAAAAAAGACTACTTTTCAGTTGGAAGACCTGAAGAATTGAAAGGACAAAATATTTTAAGCTATTATTAACTACCAATAAACAAGTTCACAGCTGATTAGTCAGTATTAATAATATTGCATGACAGGACTTTCTACCCTGCCTTGTGCCCATTGCCACAAGGCGGATTTGTGGATTTTATCACTCCACCAATTTTCTAACCACTTCTTCCGATTCACAGAAACATACGTCTGCCTATTATCTAAACTCTATTCAGCATCTATTATAACTAAAACATTTTTTAAACTATTTTTGAATAGTGAGCTCTGAAATAGTTTGAACCTAAACCAGTTTGAAGTCTTGCAGGATGAACCGGCACTGGGAAAGTACCTGCTCTCAGTATAACTGTGTTCTAGGTCTACAAGATAATTAGGAGGAAACATGCTGTGTAACAGAATAACAAGACCTATCTAGCAAAGTAAACACTTTCTAAGAAAGTCTACACACTGCTCCATTTTTTTCAATCATAGATCAGCAATATACATTGATTCTCTTAGTAGCATATCAATAAATTGTCTAGAAAATTGTTCTGTAAAAGTGAAGGCTAATTACTGCAGTTGTCAGTTTACATCTGCATTATTAGTATCCTAATTTCTGTCACTTAATGAAATTATAATTAAATAATCAACAATAAAAGTGAGCATTTAAATATATATATATATGCTATATTGATAATAAATATATAACATACTTTACATTTTCCATTGCATCAAAACTTAGTTTCTGAAAACATTGTTTTTGTCTGAATGAGAATCTGAAAGAATACAAAAGCCTTACCTGCTTATGCGTAACAGGAATCTGATAAACTCTGAGCAGGCCTTCACCCACCCGTGAACAACAATGTAAAAAAGGTACTTGTGTCTGTCTTCACTGTGCCTTCAGATCTTTAAATGCTTATCAGACAGTCAAAATTGTTAGCATGACATTATCTTCATGAAAACGCAACTCTTGACTGAAGTCTGTTTCCCTGGTTTCTGGCAGAGCACTCTAAAGGTGACTCCTCCCACATGCTCTTCAAAATTTTAAAACAGGTTGGTTTAGTTTATTGGAACATAATATATTAGCTCACCTAAACCTTGTTCTTTAACCTGTGGCTATGAAAGTCGTTTCCCCTCTCACTACACACATTCATGTTACACCTTACTTTCACTCATGTACTATGTACAGTACTTTATAGAAATTGTCTAGAAGATAAAGTATCCACAAATGTATAATATATAAATTGACACAATTAGATACAACAGAACTGAAAGCAAGTTTACAATTATCATCAAAACACAGAGAGACAGGTTCAGAAATAACTTTTATACCCAAGGGGTGAGTGTCACAAATAACTAATAGCTTATTGCAAAGTCACTACCTGATTGACTACAATCTGTTATGACCGATTGTTGAATATTGTATTTTCTGCACTGTCTACTGCACACTGTTGTTTACCATTGTAAAATATTTACTATTGTTTAATAT